TTCCTTCTCAGCCAGGCACTGGTTACTCTACCCCAGGTCATCTGACAAAAACCCAGCTGCCCCTCAAAGCTGTGCTGCTCAAGCATCTCCACCACTGAACCCAGGAGCCCCACGGGACACCAGGAGCATGTCTGCAGCTGCAACCAGGCCTCCCCAGCGAGCGTGCACTCCTGGGCCTGCCAAGTCGGGCCCGGCCCACCCTTTGTTCCCTCCATCTGGAAGGGCAATGGGCTTCATCCCTGTGATGAAAATATACTGCCTGGCCTAACTGCCAAGCACAAGTCAGAGAGGACATTCCTGCTAGGGTACACAGGCAAGAGACTCTGCTGGGCTTTTACTGCCTGAAGATATACTGCGGGCGTCTACTGCTGAGTGGGGAGACAGGGCTTACTAGCCAATGACCTGTCTGATCTCCCGACTCAGCAAAACACTCCACCTTCATTTCTAAATATTTAGAAGCTGAAAAAATATCAAACGAACATCTGCAGGGCCCATCCCCGGATGGGAAACCTTGGATCTCTCTTCAGAGATTTGCGGTCTCGCCTCTTTCCCACATCTCCTGTCACACAGGAGAAGTGACCTCTCAGTACAACTTCCTTTTCACTATTTTGGAACTCGGGGCTGGCAACCTTTTTTCACTTACTCCATAGCCCTCCCATGGGGGCCCACGTGGCAGTGCGCCAGAGGGCACCTTCTGCCTGCCATCCCTCACATGTCCACAACCCTTGGCAGGAAGGTATGACCTGGCCGTAAGGAGCCTCCATGAGACCTGTGGCTCACCTCTCCAACAGCCCCACTGCTGCAGGAATTTGCCAGAACACTTTAGCTATTCACCTTGTCTTCCAGCAGATGTCCCTAGAAACATCTTTTGGTGGTAGTGGGTGGGAGGAATAAAAGGCGAAAGTGATGGAGGCAGGGCTGGGCAGAGGGATCGTGGCCTGGCTGCATGCTAGCTGTGTCCTCACTGGCTGGCAGGCACAGCTCAGGCTCTCCACCTCTGTCACATGTGCCCAGGAGAGTGGTGCTCTGCCCCAGCCACTGGCCTACCATCAGCTGCCTACACTGAGACTTGAGTGGGCATGGGGCACAGCCTGGTGTGCCCACGAAAGGGACCCCTGGAGGTGCCAGTAAGCCAAAGCCAGTGGTCTTCTCCAGATGGGCCATGGGAAACAGGAAGATGAGGGTACACCCGGGGCCACACATGGGGAAGGGCAGCTGTGGCTGCTGCCAAGGTGAGGCAGGCTGGGTCACAGGACCCTGGGAGAACTGGGAACTCACGGGGCCTTGCTGAGGGTGCTGATGCTGGCTGGGAGGGCTCTTGGGGTCAGGGCCTGGGGAGATGGCTCCAAAACCAAGCAGCCTTCCTTCCTGACACACATGGGGCATGTGAGTGTGGGTGACCTGGATGAGGCCAAGTTTCCAGAGGAAAAGCCCAGCCCAGGTTGTCATGAGGACTGTGTAAGGAGGAACTCGAGTGAGGGGCTCTCATCTGACCCCACCTCACATCTCATTTGTGGCCCAGCCCGACCACTCTGCTCCAGAACGCCTCCCAGCCCGCCCTTCTTCCCCTGCCGCTCTCCGTTTCCGTCCCTGCCACCTCCTGCATTGGATGGACACCAGCTTCTGCACTGACCACCAAGTCTTCTCTCCTGGATGACTCTAACTGCTTTCCCCAGGCCTGCTGGCACAGCCACCTTCTGAAAACACAGTTGTGATCAGATCACTGGACTCCCTAGAAACCTCAAAGCCCCCCTGACTGCCTCTAGTAGTGAATGCATGGCCGTGGCCACTTGCGGCCAAGTGGCTTTCCACTGGAGGTCATCCTGAAAGACAAAGGCACAGCCACAGGAGGGGGCCAGAGGGCAGCGCTGCTCAGCACACCCCCAGGGAGCCCCAACCCCATGTGGGCTCTAGAGGGTTGGTCCTGCTTCCAGGGGCTGCCTGCTTACAAGGCCACAGGGCCACTGCTCATGCCAGCTGCAGAGACAGTGTCCTGTCTACACTGAGCTGACTGCCCCATGTACTTCCATCTGATTGTTTATTTAGCAGTCACTGAATGGCAGGCCCAGGGGATGAATTAAGACCAAAACAGTTGTAGTGTGGCAGAAAGTAGCATATTTTTTTTCTCACCAGACAAATCTGGGTTCACATCCTGGCTTTGCGTCTTACTGTTTAATATTTATGGGCAAGCCAGGGGTGGTGGCTCATGCCTATAATCCCAGCACTTTGGTAGGCTGAGGTGGGTGGATCGCCTGAGGTCAAGAGTTCCAGACCAACCTGACCAACATGGAGAAACCCCGACTCTACTAAAAACACAAAAATTGGCCAAGTGTGGTGGTACATGCCTGTAATCCCAGCTACTTGGGAGACTGAGGCAGGATAATTGCTTGAACCCAGGAGGTGGAGGTTGCAGTGAGCCGAGATGGCACCATTGGACTCCATCTTGGGCACCAAGAGCGAGACTCCGTCTCAAAAAAAAAAAAAAAGGTTTTAAAAAAAATTATATGGGCAATTTATTTGAGTTTGAATCTCAGCTTCCTCACCTGTAAAATGGGAATAACTGGACCTTGCTTAGAATCTAATCAGAGGGGACAGGATGCAAAGCATGCAGGTTCATGCTACCAACGATCTGCTCACCTCTCCCAGAGCCCTTCACCTCCCAGCCAAGCAAGCACAGCCATTTTCCCGAGGCTCCTCTGGGACCTGCAGCCAAGCTCTGCAACCCTCACTTCCCTTGTCTGCTCAGAAGCTGTGCATCATTAACTCAGATTTGTCTACCTCATTGCAATCCCTCCCCGTCCTGTAGTTACTTACATTGGAACCCAGCCCCAGCTTTAATGCACCTCAGATGAATTATGTGATCGGCCGTTAGAATGATGACAGAGCATGAATTTCCTCATTAAAGCCCCAAGAGCAAAAGGCAATGCAAACACGGTCCGAAGCCCTGGCCGAGGTGTGCTGAGGACAGGCACTCATCAGGCCTGGGTCTCACTTGGCAGGAGACACTGCTCACAGCGAGCCGGAACCAGGCTCTGGCCATGGGCTGACAGCGCTGATTTAAACCATTAGGAGGGCTGAGGATTAAATATTTGTCCAGGTTACTGTAAACCAGGTGGAATTATCAACAGCCTGGAGTGGTAAGTGGTGCAGGAAGCAGTCTCTGGATAGAGTCAGGATTTTCCACCCACTCCCCAGGTGGCAGGATGTGGGGGAGTTGAGCTGCAGGAGAGCTGGTTGCCTGGGAGTTTGGCTGCTCCTCCCCAGCCAGTGGCCCCTGAAAGATCGCAGTCCACTTCCACGCAAAAAGGCAAAGTGCCCCCATGAGCCTAGTGCACAGTTCTGGGATGGGACCAGGACATCCCTGCCCAGAGGCCAAAAAGAAGACCCCAACATCCTTTCTGGCCTCCAGCCCCTCTGACACAGGAGGGGCAGCGGAGCTTCTACAGGTCGGGGCGGGGGGGGGGGGTCCCAGGCATGATGGCTGACATTCATCTTGAACCATATTTTTTAAATACATGTAGATGTTGTTGTAACTAGCAGAATACAAATTCACTTAAAAGATTTACTACATTGGGCCGGGCGTGGTGGCTCATGCCTATAATCCTAGCGCTTTGGGAGGCCGAGCTGGGCAGATCACTTGAGGTCAGGAGTTGGAGACCAGCCTGGCCAACATGGTGAAACCCCATCTCTACTAACAATACAGAAAAGTAGCTGGGCATGGTGCTGCGTGCCTGTAATGCCAGCTACTTGTGGGGCTGAGGCAGGAGAATCGCTTGAACCCAGAGCGGAGGTTGCAGTGAGCCAAGATCATACAACTGCACTCCAGCCTGGGCGACAGAGTGAGACATTGTCTCACCAAAAAAAAATAAAAAAAAGATTTACTACCTTGATCCATTCGGTCATATTTTTTCTATCCACAGCTATCGAGAGCATAACTATCTTACTGAAAGAGCTCTCTGACGTTAGAAGGAACCCTCACAGTGGAGTCAGGGACTACTGGAACCGAGAATGGAAGGGCATCCTTTCAGAAAGTGGCTCCCTCCTGAGGCTCTCAAGGCCGTGTGGTTTCTGCTGATACCAACTTCGCTGAAGGCAAAACAGGATCCTTCTAAAGCCCAGTTGTGCTTGGTCTGTGCTTTCTCTTTCCTCTTTATGCCAAGCAGCTGGTGGCACTGCGCCGTCACAAGGTTAAGGCCTTCTCTTGGGATGGGGGTTGAAGGGGCCTGAACGTGGACCCTTATACAAGGATCTTAAACCCACCTAGATGCTTATAGGAACAGCTATAGTAGAAGTGCAGGCAAATCTGCTCAGGGGAGGCAGGACCTTCCGGTCCAAGTCCAAGTTTGCCTCAGACAGAACCTGGGAGCAACACTGTAGAGAAGGGTCGCTAGTGATACCCAAACAAAAGATGGGTAAGAGAGAGGTACCCAGTAGGGCACTTCTTAAATTTCAATGCGCACACATTACCTGGAGAATTTTGCGAAAATGGAGATCCTGATTTGCCAGGTCTGGGTGGGGCCCGGTATTTCTGCCTTTCTGACAAGCTCTTAGGTGATACTGATGCTGGTCCTTGGACTAGGCTGAGGGCTGCAAGGTGCAGCAGGTTAAGTGGCTTCCAGAGAGTGGGCCTGACTGATGGGCCGGGCATGGCCACAGAGACTGCAAACAGAGCCAGGAATGACTTCTCACAGCACAACGTGAGCCTGAAGCATGGGGGTGTGTGGGGCCCTGAGGGGTAAGGAGGAGCCATGGCCAGCACCTGGCTCCCTCAGCAGAAGGCTAGCACGGTGTCGGTAGCTGTGGGCAACCTCGTACAGCCTAGAGGGCTTTCATTGAAATCGCATTCATGAAAATGTGAAGCCCTACCTACTCAGATGGTGGATTTACAGCTGGCTGAACACATTTATCCTAAATGGGGCCCCGGCTCACTCATCTGTGCAGATCAGTGCTGAGGCCAGCACTGGTGGGCACAGGCACGTGGCTAGGAGCGGTAACTCTACCTGTCTGGTGAGGCTGCCTCCGAGGTTCATGGTGCCAGAGCCGGATTTGTTGGTCTGCAGCCACAGCATCACCGTGGAGGTCAACTTGTAATGGGCGGTGCGGCCGCTGGATTTCTCCTGGAAGGACAAGACAGAGACCTGCTGAGCTAGGGAAGAGCCTGAAGTGGCCCCTTAAACTCAGGGTTATCCTAACATCTCCCTTCCTAGGTCATTATTCAAATATTACCTTTTGTTTTGAGACAAAATCTGGCTCTGTTGTCCAGGCTGGAGTGCAGTGGTATGATCTTAGACACTGCAGCCTCCGCCTCCCAGATTCACATGATTCTCCTGCCTCAGCCTCCCAAGTAGCTGGGATCACAGGCGCCCGCCACCACACCCGGGTAATTTTTTTGTCTTCAGTAGAGACGGGGTTTTGCCATGTTGGCCAGGCTGGTCTTGAACTCCTGACCTCTGGTGATCTGCCCGCCTCAGCTTCCCCAACTGCTGGGAGTACAGGCATGAGCCACCGCACCTGGCCTCACAATATTATTTTTCTTATAAAAACCTGACTGGTTTTTAAAGGGACAACATTTCTAATTGTGTATTTCTTTTGGGAACTTAATAATCAATGACCACTGCAGTCTTGACTTATCTTTATCCAAATGGCTTTGAGGCATTTTTCAGAATTAGCAGGGGTTCAGAGATCACAGCATTTCCCCTGCATCTGCTGGAGAGCAGGGCTGCACTGTTTGGTGTGCCATCTACACTCGGCGGCCCCGGCCACCAGCTGCTGGTGGGCAGTACCTGCACTTCCACCACGTGGATGGAATCCCAGCAGCCTTTGATCTTCTTTGATCCATCTCCAGCCTTCTTTATGAGGATCACTCCAGCAAAGCCATGATCCAGATCCCAGAGGTAGACAGATGAGACGCCGCCTTCAAAATACCTGCAGGAAACAGGCCAATGTGCCTGTTAGATGTTAAATGACAGATCATCAGCCTGGGTCCCAGGCTGTTGCTCAGCCAAGATTCACCTGAACACCTGTCTGGGATTCGGGGCCTTCCCTGCGACGGCTGTAGGAGACAATCCTTAGGTGTGTTCTGATCGTCCTCTCGCTGGGGGAGGTGGTGCAGCACCCTTGGGGGAATATTAGGTTTAGTGTCATAAAGATGAATTTGAGTTTGGGCTCCGCCACCTCCTCTAGCTTTGTGGTCTTTGGATTACTGAACCTCTCTGGGCATCACACTCCTTCCAGATAAAAAACACAGTACAGCGAGTGACATCCAGTGATAATCCATGCAGGTCACAACCACTGGAGTGACCACAGCTGTTCGATATTTCTGTCTTTTGGGATATTTTATAGGGCAGATGAGAAAATATAGCAACAAACTCCCTACATCCTGATCCCTCCTGATCCTGGCAGACCAGGGCTCCTGCTGATCTTTTGGAGCAGCTTCCCACAAAGCACTAGGTGGAAATGAAGGGCTCAGCTTGAGACAGAGCTTCCGCCTCAAATCTGAGTCAATACAGAAACATCTCTTTTATTTATTTATTTATTTATTTTTGAGATGAAGTCTCGCTTTGTTGCCCACACTGGAGTGCAGTGGCACCATCTCAGCTCACTGCGACCTCCACCTCCTAGGTTCAAATGATTCTCCTGGCCTCAGCCTCCCGAAGTAGCTGGGATTACAGGTGCGCACCACCGCACCAGGCTGATTTTTGTATTTTCAGTAGAGATGGAGTTTTGCCACGTTGGCCAGGCTGCTCTGGAACTCCTGATCTTACGTGATCCTCCTGCCTTGGCCTCCAAAGTGCTGGGATTATGGGCATAAGCCACCACCCCCCACCCAGAAACATTTCTAATTATGATCAAATAGAAGAAGAAAACAAAAGGCAAGATGAAAAAAGGGAATCAGTCTGGGATCCCAAACCCAACCGACCCAGGTCAGCTACTGTGGCTCACTGGGGCTGCCATGAGCAGAGTCGAGGGGTGGGGTCAGCTGATGAGAACTGCAAAAGCTGCTGATAACCAACGGAGACTATGCGAAATCTCATTTCTTGCGGGGAAAGTCTGTAACCTCTCCAATCCCAGTTAAGCCCCAAAGAGAGGACTCTTATCTCTGCTGATAACCAACTGTGAGCAATCTCATCTCTCATGGTGAGCACATCTTTATCAGAAAGTCTCAGGCCTCTCTGACCCCTATTAAGCCCCAGAGCCACAGTGTGGTAGGTGTATTCTAGGAGCACACTCCCTCAGCCCCACACAGCTGGGAAGGTGGGCAGCATGGTGCACTGGGTAGGCAAAGGCTTGGGAGTCAGACTCAGTGACAGCTCTAGCACCCCCAGCTATGAGCTATGCTCAGGCATACATCTGCCCAACAACTATTTACTATGGGACCAGCTGTGTGAACATGGGCCTTAGGGACTTAATCTACTTTCCAGGGCTGTTGAGAGACAAAAACGATTAAGAAATTAGACACCTGCCAAATGGTCATTGTCGTTTTCATTATTAAAATTAAGTATTAGAATTAACATGTATCTATATATAATGTCTCACCAAAGCTATTATACAACAAAAAATACACACGGTAAATGTTCATATTTAGAGAATGTGGGTGATGGGTACAAGAATTCTCTGTAGTCTCTCCCCATCCTTTTTTTGTGCAATCTTACAGTAAGTCATACTATTCCAAACTAAAAAGCTTTTGTAAAAAATCAGTACACGAATACACCAGAGTGTAATGGAACTAAGAGACTTTCAGACCAAGGAAGCAAAGCACCCTCCCAGGAGAATGAGAATCTCCTGCATGTGTACATAAGACACAGGGTGCCCTGGCTGGTCTGCCCTTGCTCCAAACAGCAGAACTGTGGAGCGCCCAGGGGGCTGATTCAGCTGGGCTACCCTGGGCCCTCCCTTGCAGGGCTCCCTCAGGCAGGCTGAGGCCAGCCCCTGCTGTAGGACCACATCTGCCCCATTCCTTCCTTCTGCACCACCCACTGCAATGAAGCTATCAAATGGAATTCACCACCGTGCCTCCCATGCGCCAGTCTGCAGGAGGCAGATGAGGGCAGGACTGCCTGGCTGACACAAGAGTCACTCAGGGAACACCTGTGGGATGGAGGTGTCTGGTGCCAGCTGCTGAGCTAATCGCTGGTCACTGTGCAGGGTGGGGAAGGGTCTGGCTCTGGCAGGTGCAGCACAGGCATCCTTCCTATGAGAGTACAAGGACCACTGGATGAACAGACACACCTGTGCGGCCCAGAGCTCACTGCTGGCACAGGTAAGGTCCAGGAAACTGGCCAACATTGGCACCCAGGGACCCCGCTTCAGAAGATCATTTCCTTTACTTCAGTCTCTCTCCAAACTCGCCCTTCTCGGGGCGAGGCGAGGTAAGCAGATGAGTGCTTTGGTCCAGCGCCCAAGGCCCCATCTACCTCCACAGGGCCCTCCTGGTCTGGACTGGCCCCACACAGAGCTGGACAGACCAGGCACTTCTGGAATGCTCCCAAAACACCTGGAGAGGGACTGACTCTGCCTGCTGGACCTGGGGTTTAGCAGGGCTCAGGTGACTGGCAGCGTGGGCTCTGTGAGCCTTTCTGGCTTGTTCTCCTGGATTCTCGAAAGTTAACTTACGAGGCACATCAATACCACTGAGGGAAGAGCAACTCCCAACAGACCTGCTCATACCCTTCATGTTGGCGACAGATGGGTTGGTTCTAGCATACGGTTTTCCCCCTCAGTCGGTTTACAGGGAGAGCAGCCCCACATCAGAAGTAGGGGAAGAAAAAAAAAACAGAAACACCCACTTTGAAAACTGTGGCTTTTCCTGTGCTGGCAAGAAGGATGGGCCAATCATTCCTTCTTTCCTTTGGCCGTTCTGGAAAGAAGGCTTGCAGCCCAGGCATTTCATCCTTCCGCTCCTTCACAGCTCTGTGCAGAGCTGCGGTGCCGTGCCTGCCCATGGCTTGCTCTTTTCTGTGTGCTGGGACACTGGGGGTCGCAGATCAGGCTGCCCTGGAGAAGAACCAGGAGAAATCCCGATGGCCTGACAGCCCTTGTTGACACTATCCAATGACCAGTTCAAAAGCACCAGGTGGCCTACGGCTGCTTCCCCTCAAACCCATCCCTGAGTGCTCCATTTCTTCCAGAAAAATAAAACAACCGCATTAAAGTTTTATAAGGTGGAACCGGCCGTTTCCAGTCCAAAGTCCCACCCCGTGGCCTGGCTTCCACTGTGGGCAGCTTCTCTTTGGCGGGCCACAGTGACCAGGTCTAACGTTTCAAATGCCGGGGCCAGGGGAGGTAAAAACGCAAGCTCAACTGTGACCTCTTTGTGGGGTTACTATTCTTTTACCCACAACTTAAAAACTTACTGCAAGAACATTATTGTTTTTTAAAAAAAGGAAATATGAAAATTAGCCCACAATACCATAAATCAACTTATCCCATAAATCTGATTTTTCCAAATTCCCTTCCAGTCCAGATGCATGATTTTTATATAACCGTGAGCACAGCAAGGGTACCACGCTGAATTTGGCTGTTTTCACTTGGCACAGAATCATGAGCATTTTTCCACGGAGCCACATTATCTCCATAATCATTTTTAATAGCAAGGGCAGTATTCCATCAGGTAGTATCCTCATTTACCGTCGATTTGACTTTTAATAAAGAAACAACGGCGGCAGAGTTAGAGGTGGGGCGGTTGGTCCCATGCTTTGAATCTGTTCCCTCTGTGAATCGGGGTGTTCCCAACTGAGGTGAGTCAGACGTGCCGAGACCTGGCACCTGCAGGTACAGCTGAAACACCACAATAATTCAAGAATGGACTTGCTTTCCATTCACGAAAAGGGATCTCCAGGGACTGGAGCAGCCACAAGTCTCAACCTGACATTCTGAGACAAAGGGAGCAGAGGACTGCACAAATTTTTTTTTTTTTTTTTTTTTTGAGACGGAGTTTTGCTCTCGTTACCCAGGCGTGATCTCGGCTCACTGCAACCTCCGCCTCTTGGGTTCAGGCAATTCTCCTGCCTCAGCCTCCTGAGTAGCTGGGATTACAGGCACATGCCACCATGCCCAGCTAGGACTGCACACTTATAAAGGCCAGTTTCAGAATCACCCGGAAGCACCGGCCTCTCGGGCAAGTGCTGTCAGGATGGCTCCGGGCACCTTCAGCGGGAGGTGACTGCAGGGCGCACAGGCAGCGCCCCCCACTGTGTGCTTTATGGCCTTGTGCTGCGCGTGAAGCATTAATTAAAGAGGGACCACAACGCGCTTTTGAAAATTTACTTCTTACCTACTGTACTTTGATCATAACGACATGAAACAAGGAAAAAAATAATTTTTATGTGGTTTGCATTTATGAGTTTTTACATAAAGGCTTTTGTGGGTATTTTAAGAATGTGCTAAAATGTTGTCTGAAACCACATGAAGCCATCTGAGGAGTCGCCCGCCAGAACTAACAGCCCACACATGGAAGCACTTTAACTGGCCTTTGTATATTTAATGAGTCAAATAGTATTAATATTGTTTAAATGCTAACATGCTATTCCAATAAGGTGGCTCTGCCATCGCCAGCGACTCACTCTCAGGCCTCGCACGTCCATGTGAGAGAACGATCAAATGTGGCCAGGCGCTGAGAGCAGGCTGCAGAGGAATTCACCCGCCCTGCCTTGGCCCCTGCCCGTGCCTGACAATTTCAAAATCCCCAACTCTGCAGGGAGGGAGGAATGGGCCCAGGACTGACTACCACACTCGGCTGATTTGGGCTCGAGGGAAAGCCCAGAAAGTCCCTGCAGTGAGGTCTCTGGTCAAGGAGGCAGAAGGGAGAACTTTTAACTTTATCTGAGAGACAGTCTCACTCTGTTGCTCAAGCTGAAGTCCAGTGGCATGACCTCAGCGCATTGCAACCTCTACCTCCCGGTTCAGGTGATTCTCCTGCTTCAGCC